TATTCTACCCAAACATCTAATATAGTTATCTAATGAATTATTAATTTTTTGGTGGTTATATTTGCCAATTTTTTTTAAAATAATTAGCCGTTTTGTTCTCCTTTTTTTCTTCGTTATCTCTTCTTAGCTTCAATATGGTCCACTCATTTTCTAAGTTTCGTAAAAACCCTAATAGCTTGTGTTGTGTGATTTGTGAACCATGTGCTTAAATTTACTTGGGCCTTAAGGGTTTGTCTTCTATCTTTTTTCTGGTTACTTCTGGATAATACTTGCAACTTCAATGAAGACCTATATCATAATTGTTTGTCTTTGCTTCAGTGATTACAAGAACCGGACGGTTTACCCCTCTAATCATCCCTAAACCGGTTTACTTAAATTTGTGTTAGCTAATTACAAGAACTTTTAATTAGCTAAAACATAAACTTTTAGTAGTTGAGTGTGAAACTAAATTGTTAATTTTCTTGAAAGAAATGATGTCATAAGAGCTTGACAGAAAATACTTACAATTTTGTAAAAAATTTACAGTTTTGGAAGCACAAAACCTTTATGGGGATTTTGGTTCAATTTCCTCGGTTTAGAGATAAGTCTACGGTTCATGAGCAAAACCAAAGGAAGCTGCTGGTTGGGCCATGTTGCAGTATAAAGCCCACAGGAGTAACTGAAGCCCAGTGGCATTGTCGCAAATAACAGATTGGTAACATTAATTAGTCTATTGCAATAGTTTAAAAGCAGATAAGCGAAAACAGAGTACGAGAGTTTATTACCTTTCTTCTTCTCAATAAACATATTTATTAATTATATGAAAGTATTGTTTTAACATTTTCCATACATATTATAAAACTATTTAATTAGTCAACTACAATATCTGTCTCTTGACTAAGTGATAAATTAGTACATTAAATCTTGTTGTGATTAGTTACTTACAAATTTTTTAAAAATCTTTTGTTTTCTAACTGAACTTAAGCCAACTTGTAATTGTTCCCACTAAAGAAAACGAAAGAAACCAAAAAATAATAATCAAAGAACAAATGTATCACAAAGCCAAACATATTTTTATTAGCAACAACAAAATATTTCAACACTCTATAAGTTATTACTAATAAATAACAAATTCTCCTTCGTGACTCTAAAACCCAATCTTTCACATATACTTAAAAAGCCTAATCTTATAAACTCATTTAGAGTATTTTCGATTTTTTGGTATTACTATTAACAACATCACACACACACTCAAAGAAGCTCATCTATAAACGATTTTCCTTTAAACTTCTCCATTTTGTATCCCATTTTCTCCATCCTTGACCGTTCCGCTTCAAGTTCGACCATCCGAGCCCGCGTCTCCTCAATTCGCGACCTTGCCTTCGCCATTTCCTCCTCCATTCGAACCAAATCCGCTTCTTGAGCCTCAAGCTCTTCTTTCTTAGCCTTCACTAAACCCTCCTGCCTCTCTTTCTCTTTCTCCGCATCTTCTTGAGACCGCGCAAACTCCTCAAGAACCGAACGTAGCCAAGCCACTTCGATGTTCACAGACTCCAAGTCTTTGAGAACCGCAAGCATCTCTTTGACTTTGACTTTAGTCAACTGCCCAACCGGGGTTGACCTGAGTTCTTGCATCAATGAGCATAAACACTCGAGGTAACGGGACCGCATTGAGTCCGATTCCAGCTTACAGTTTGAGGCAATGTCTCCATGTTTCTCGATGACATTGCTTAGGATCGTGGATGAACCCGATCTCACTCGGTATTTCCCGACAGAGACGAAAGTGTCAGACATTACTGATTCAAGATCAAGCTCTACTCCAATCTCATTGTTGCTT